ATATATATATATGAAATAAGTTTTATAATTATTTAAATATATCTAAATGTAAAAATATGTGACACTCACGGTAAATCTGTTTTAGCAAAATATCCAGAATGAATCACATAGCCATTTACTTTTCTAACATTGTCTATATTAAAAAGTAGATTCTTAATACGAATATTCCCTTTATCTGAAACTTGGCCACCTTCTAATGAATAACATATAGTCTTGTCCAAAATGATTCCAATCTTATCTGTACTATTTAATATCTCGTCGATATTTACAATTGTTTTATTGATAGTATTATTAGTTTTTATATCAGAATTTTTACTTGCAACTAATTCACCTACGATATGCAACATAAATCCAATTTTAGAGTTGAATGATATAAGCAGTTAAATAATTGGAATATATGATAAAAATGTACATAATTTATTTTAATATTACCATTGACAATAATTCCAATGAGTTTACTGCTAAGTACTGGAAATTCGTAGGTATTTCCATTATATGTATAATTATACTTGAATGAATCATCCGTCTTAGGTATATGATTTTTTTTAAGTATTCCTAAAGATTCTTTAGTAATTACAGTATTATATTTGTTTAATCCAATCCTTGACTGATATCTACGATTATCAAGTTGCTTTTCAAAATCAATTTCATCAAAGTATAAACATTCGATTTGTGCCAATTCCGCTATAGTTTCCGAATTCAGACCATATGTATCATACAGCTTAAATGCGACAGTTCCAGATAATACATTAGTTTTACGTCTGTAAATAATATTATGTGTACTAATATATTATGTCATGTAAAAAAGGTACAATTAAAAAAAAATATTTTACAATTCTTTCAACATGGATTGTAAATCTTTATAGCCATCAATTAAACCAGGAGCCATCCAATCAGTAACTGCTATTAATTCGGGACGAGTTTCAATCATCTTTTTCCACATTTTACCAGAAGTATTTCGTAATCTTTTTAATAAATCTTCTTCAAAATCTATTATCCTTTGTACCTAACAAATTAGTATATTAATTTAAGATTATATAAACTATGTCTCGATAAGATAAGCTTAAAAATTTCATTTTAATATATATTTTAGTCATTTTAATCTTAATTATTTTACCTGTTTTAAATTAGTGTGCAATTCTGGATAAGTTACACCCAGATTATCAGCTACATTGCAAGCAAGTTCTGAAACTATGCCAGATTTTCTGAAGATTTTCTCTCCTACATCCATTGCATGTCGCAATATTTTTCGCAGTTTAGGACTGAAATATTTTATATATAT